TTTCGTGTTTCTTGGTAATTTTCTTGGAAAGTGGATTTTATTTAAAAAACCTATCCTATATTTGTAGTTCTGCTCTATTTCTTTATTATAACATTGTGTATACAGTCTGTTTTTCTTAATAAAGCTTGCCAAAGACTGGTCTACTTTATTGTTTTCTGAGAACCAGCTTTTAGTCTTATTAATCAAGTCTGCTGCTCTCCAGTCTGGTGGGATTCATTCTACTTTATTAATTTTTGCTTTTATCTTTATTAACTTCCTTCTGTTTTTATTTTGTTTACTTTTTATTCTTTTTCCAGCTTCTTGATTTAGATACTTGATTCATTGAGTCTTTATTTCTCTTAATAAATGAATTTAAGGTCATAATACTCTCTCAACAACCATTTTTGGCTCGGTCACAGGGATTTTTATTTGTAATGCTCTCATCATGCTTCATTTCAAAATACTTTATTTGAATTTTTATTTTCTCTAACGCAATAACTATTTATTGGGTGTTTTAAAACATTACAATTGATTGATTTTTTTTTTTACTTCTCTTTGTTCCTAACTCATAATTTTATTGCACTGTGGTCAGAAGTCATGCTCAGACCTACTTCTGCTTTGGAAATTTATTAGCATCTCTTTGTGGCCTAGCACAATGGCAAAGAAGGCAGGCTGGTGTTTGGGGTGGTGCCTCCTAGCAATAAGGCGTGCACCCCAAGACAGCTTTTATGTGTTTTTAAACACACTGTAAAAGCATGTGCGCATGATTTATGTATGCTTATTTCTATTTACTTGTTAGTGAAGTTTCAAATCCTTGCTTCTATTTGTAAACTTGACCTTTTGAACACTCAGACAACCATGCTGAAGTCTCCAGTTTGAAATCCGACACGTCTCCTGGCATTTCTGGCATTTTCCTTTCTAGACATTGAATGCTACATCATTTATGCATGAAAATATTTATCTCAGTGCCACTTTATTGGTGAGTTGTACCACCCATGGTCTTATTTACATAGTGATATCCAGGTGCTTTTCATCAGTAATCCTGTTTTCAAGCTTTCTGTGCCACTTAATTCTGTTCTGTTTTTAAGTGAACTGTATATTGATATATAATGTCATTTTTCTTTTGGGTCTCATCCAAATTGAATGTGCATGTATTCTTTTTTTACCCAAAATAAGTATGTATTAAAAATTGAATTCGATCCATTTACAATTATTATGATCTTGATATATTAAACTTATTCTTGACATCAGATTACTTTTTCAATTTTTATGCCTTCTTACTATTTATTATTATTTTGTGCTAACTCAAGAATTTTTAGGGGACCCTCACTTATTTCTTCAGTTTCTGTACCGTCAGCATTCGCGAGCCCCCATCTCACCTTTGCTGTAACAGCCCGCTCCCCGCTGAGCGCTCCTTCCTTCCAGGCTTCTGGCAGGCAGGCCCTGCTTGGAGGTTCACTGCTGCTCTCTGTTGTTGTGGAAGTCCTGCTCCCTCTCATCACGGCTGGCTTAATCGTGAGCACGTGATTTTGTTTCTATCTAATGAATCTGCTAAATCCACTTGGGGCATATTACAAAATATTTTCTTCACTGGCTAAATTTTTATTTTTACTGGTTAAAAAATTTTAAACACATGCACACAGAGGCCCTGTCTTTTTCTCTCTGATTATACTAACTAGAGATGATAATCCATCTTTCAAGTGTCTTCCAGTGCACCAATCAGCTCCCTCTGGAGGGACACAACAGGAAACAGAAAGAAGCTCTATCCTTTAGGGTGTGTTTCAGTTACTCAATAAACTATTTTGTGATAGGAGGATACCACTGGCCAGTTTCTCAGGCATGGTCTCTATTTTCGTAAGACATGGAACCTGAGTCTTATACACATCTTCCCTGACAGTTCTGAGACTATTTCTATTGTATTTAATCATTCCTCAATAAGAAAAATGTTAATAACTTTTCTCATTCTTTCTGAACTGTCTACCTACCCTCCAAAAAATTATGTTTTTATTCTTTAAGAAATTTTCCTTAGGATCTTTCGTGTGTGTGTGTGTGTGTGTGTGTGTGTGTGTGTGTGTGTGTTACGGAGGAACTGAACCCGGGGTGCTTTATCACTGAGCTAAAATACCTACCTATTTTAAAAAAATTTTTTTCATTCTGAAACAGAGTCTTGCTGAGTTGCCAGGCGGTACTACAATGTGCTGAGCAATTCTCAGTGCTAGCAACACAGGCATACACTGCCACATCCCGAGACATTTCTTGATGTCAGATTTTAGTCTTGATGTGAATTTTTATTCTAAATGTATTTTTGTTTTAGCTCCTACTTTAATTCTGCTCTAAAATCATAACAATGATGTATTTTTATTCTGCACTGCAAGGTTTTCTTCTATTATTTCCTTAGTCATTCTGTTTTTCCAGTCCTTTAGGTGACTTTTGTTTAAAACCTTTGGATCTACTGACTCCCATTTTCTCTCTTTTTCCCAAATACTTGACATTTTGAATCTGTCCTGTGACGATACTTCTATAATTCTTTTATAATTCTCTTTACACAGTTTTAAATGTAGCCAACAAATAGAATTCTACAGAGAAGAGGCAGTCCAGCATGTCATCTGTTTTAGACAGGGCCAGGCTAAATCAGCATTAATCTGAAAAGTGAAGGAATTAAATTCACAGTGGGAAAAACATAGGTATGTCTTGCTATATTTTAAAATTTCAACCACAAAGTAAGAAATTCTTGTGGTAAAACTGATTTAGAAAGGAAACCAAATCAGACTTCCGTGTCACAATAAGCTTGGGAGCTGAGAAGGCAAAGCAAAAAGAAAAACAGACATTAAAGGAAAACACAAAAGAACATGGTGACCACAGGTCCTGGGATATGGTTTTGCAATGCGTGCCAAAAATTTAATAGAGGGTCACGGATGTACATGCAAGGGTTTAACTCAGTAAACCATGTCACACAGCACTGCAGCGTAATTTGAAAAAGTATATTTTAAAATTCACATAACAAAATCATCAACTTACCAAAGAGGAAAAGATTGCCAGTTTTCATTAAAACTCATGTAGATAATATAAGAAAAAAGTGGTAAAAAATTATTGTTCCAGTACAAAATAACAATATAACCAAAAAATGTATAGATTATCAAAATAAACTCAGGAATCAGGTGGTAGAAGGGGTGGATATCATATTAGGACAAAAGTGATAAATATTGTTTAATATTTCACCAGTAATTGAAGTTTCAATATGTGTTTATTGAAAAGAATCATAGAATTAGAAACATGTATTCCAAATGATGACAGAAGGATGTAAGACCAAAGTTTCCTTAATATACAGGTTACAGATTTGAGTAATTCCTCAAGAGCGCGCGTTGGGACCTGGTCTGTGTGTAGAAGCTGTATCCAGGTGCTACTATTGAGCGAGTCCCTCGGAAAGCCAGCTTTTCCTGTGCAAGCTGGCGTAGTGGGCATAAATACGGTATTTGCAAGCACTTTCCTTCCACGCTCACCTTTTTCACAAGGCACACGTAAGACCTTTCATGTAAGCCTCTAGTTAGAACTGATAGAGTTTCATAGCCTTGCACAGACTTCAATAAACTTATGTTGTCTGGTTTTCATTAGCCGGAATTACATGGAGTGTTCACATAGTTTCTAATAGATAAAAACGGAACAATCTCTGAATGCATAAATCACATTATTTGCATTACTTGAACAACACTGTATTCATGGATTTTCACAAAACCTTTAAGTCTGACATTATGCCCACTTGGCTGGAGGAAAACCACTTAAGCTGACTTCTTTGTCTTTCCAAACATTCAAAACATTGCTTTGCTTTCCGGTAAAATTAAGACCCTGCAAGCCTCTTCTACCACAAAACACAGAGCCAGCTATTTTCTCGAGTCCTGGTTCCTTTACCATAAAACAGTGTCAGAAATCAAAATGTAGACCCTGGATGAATGTAGTAGGCTTCACGCATGCGGCCCAGGAGTATGTACTGCCTGAATGTCTAGGTAGCTGCACTAAGAGGGTCACGTCTCTATGGGGTTGTGACCTCACCTTGATTTACCGCTTTGATTCTACGTTCAGAAGACTTTAAATTCTTTGTTCTATTTCCGCACCCATCAGGGCTCCACCTGCACGCTTCACCGTCAGCTCTGAGACTGAGAATTTCCACGTTCCCTGTGTCTACCTCAGGGCTGAACTTTGTCTGTAGAGGGCACAGACACACAGTGCTGCAGGAAGGCAGAGTTTTTGTGTGTTTTGTTTTTCCGGGTTCTGTGTATGCAGGTTTTGCAGCCTGAGTAGCTATTTTAGGACCTAATTCTTGCAGGGTGTTATAACCAGAGGTCACCATGCGGGCAGTATTGAGCATGATTTCAGGGAGACTCTGGCCACCCCAGATTCTCAGTGATGAGACTTCCAGCACGGCCATCAGTGACCTCTCTGCTGTCTTGTGAGCCGTGACTGTGATGTCCCCACCCGGGAAAGCACAGGCCTAAATGTGCTATGGGGGAGCACGGGGGCATCTTCCACGCTGGAGCTCTGTCACTGAGCTAGCGATGACCCTTTTACTGGACAGTCTCTACATTTCTTAGAGTTCTCTTCAAATCCTGCTGACCAACTGCTGATCCCAAGTGATAATTATTAAGTATTTTCCACTAAACTTTCCCTGTTTGGTGCTATATATAAGTTCTGTCTCTTGACAGAATTATTAGTCAAACTCTGACTAATAATAAACGCACTCTAATGATGTGTCCCACCTTTTCTGACCTGCAAGTTTATCTTCTTTTTGTTACAAATAGTGTCATTCTAATCCCTAATGCACTAGGTTACTAAGTATATCTATTTACCCAGATTTACCCACTAGCTTTAATTTTACTTCCCTTTCTTGCGTAATCACACGACACATGGACTCTCGTCACTTATCCCAATGAACACTTGTGAATATCTGCCTATATAATGTTTTATTAAACTCTAAACCTAAGTCATAAAGACTAATGAAAAACAGCAAAAAACAATAAAATGCCACATTTTAAATTTTATGCAATGGAGTTTATATTAATAAGGATATGAATTAATCATTTCATTTTTGAGTCATAAAACTGAAAATTAGTAAGAAAGAATATGTTAGTAGTTATGACAAATTTAATAACACTGCAAACAGAAGGAGTACAAGTAATCAATAAATCTAAAATCTGATTCTCTGGCAAAAGGAGACAAACGATACATATTTTAAATTAGATGAATAAAGAAATTATAAATGTGCAACAAAGGACAATAGAAAAGAGGAAAAAAGGAAGGAGGGAAATGTAATGATATAGCTGGAGAGACTGTCTCCATGTAAGTAAAATTCAGCATTTATCCCCAGATAAAATTCTTAGAGATGGAAGAGTGTTTACTTAACACGATTCAGAGTGCCATCTGAATGTCAGCTTACATTTGAATATAAAATAATGGGTGAATTATCATAGAGTCACAAGTGTGTAAGTTTCAAAAGGGAAAAGCTGTCTGGAGAAAAGAAAGCCCATGGACCCATTAGCAAGATCATCTCTTCAAATATAAAAATCCACAGTCATTTGGATTGGGCTGCTTTGATAACATTTTACCATTAATAAAATACATAACCTTGTAGAAGAGCCTGTGTACTCTTCTAAATGAATTTGGTCTAGAGTTGAAAACCCAAATGCTCCAGCTAGAAGGCTGTTCAAACCTTTCCTTCATCTAAACAGTTTCTTAAACAAACTGAAACCAAAGAAGCGGCAGGAAAGAACTAGTTTCAGTCAGACAAATTTTTTTCAAACACAGAAACTGTCACTCAGTGAGTGGCAGACAATTCCAGGGTCCCTCTGTGCCCGAATCCTTCCCTGAGACCCCAGCTCCCTCCTGGCCACCAGCTGTGTGTCGGAGCCACATCTGGTGCATGGGCCAGCAGAGGAGGGGACACTGTGGGCCGGGTCCCTCACGCCACCCTTCTGTTCTCAGGCTCTTCACCGGGGAACCGACAAAGACTTTATTTCCGAGTTGCAGTTTTACTGGGGGAAGCAGAGTTTTAGGGGAGGTAAGTCCTCGCTATGACCCAGGTCAGCACGCTGCAAAAGGGATTCCAACTCAGGTCTACACAAGGGCTGGGGCCCTGAACTTGCTGTCTTGGGGACGGTGTCGGAGCCCTGCTGGGAAGTGACCTGCACAGAGCAGACAGACACTGTGTGCGATTCTCTCCTGCTCTGCTCCCAGGTACTGTTCAAAGGAGCGAGCACTTTGCTTTCATTCCGCTGCCTAGGTCGCCTTCCACGACAGCAGCCTTGTGAAGGAGTCGGTCTGGATGAAGTCCATGTTTAAATGAAAATATCACAGAATACAATTTTACCCTTGAAGAATCCCAGGCCCGGTAATTTTTCAACAGATTGAATGCATTAAGCTTTTGTATATATATAGAGGCATGCTCGAAGATATACAAAGTCAATCGGAAAGTAACAATTCCTGTCCCTTAAGAACTTATAACCTAAAATATACCACCGGGATGTGGGCTCGAATACACAAATTCAAACAAACACCAACACATGAATAAAGAAGAATAGTCCAGCCTTTCAGGCCTGTGTTGAACAGAACCGCTTTTAACATACACACACAAATTAGAGTAGTATTTAAACACAGATCAGAACCTGCCTCACTGGGAAGATGAGAGTTTTCCTGGGGGCGGGAGATGGTCGCCCACCTGACTTTACACACCCACGTTTCGCCAGCTCAGAAACGCCTGGAAAACAAGCTCTTACAACTGGCGTGCAAAACTGTGTTCCTGTAAACTAACGATCACCCAAAACGGTCCCATTAAAGCGAAGATTTTCTTTTTAAAAGAAAACTAATAATTTTTTTCAGAAAAAAATTAATGCAAGGATTTTCCCTCAGGTTTTGACGTTTAAAAGCCTTCTACCCATTAGGTAACTAAGATTTGGGGAAGACGTGTAGGGGAAAATCAATGGTAACGTTCACAGCAGAAGCCGGGGCCAGGGAGCGAGCTTTGTTACATGATGATGATGACGCAGCTGTAGCCAGTAGTTTTATTTCTCATTTTGCATTAAATTCTTCCTCCCTCATTTCTAGAACGTTTGAGCGATACACCCAGTAAGCAGAGGGCGTCTGTCCTATAAACAAAATACCCTCTGCCTCTCTTGCAGTTCTCCGTTGCTCAATTCCCTTTCCCAAAGCCTGAATTTTATTTAGGAAAAACTTTTCACAATTAATTTAAATCAGGCTACTTCTGCAGCTCTTCAAAACTTAAAGAACCATTTCATATGCAGACACTGGCCAAATCTACCTCCTGGGTATTGATTGATTTAAAAACTCAACGTCAGAACTAAGCAAAGCCAAACCCTTATCTCCACCCTGTCTGTGAATGTGGCTGGCGGATTAGCCTGAAAATTACAGCGTGCAGGGCTCCTAGGACTGAGTATAAGGACAGCTCCCAGAGGAGGGTTTTCATCCTCTCCTGATTTATTCCTTCCTGTCCTCCAACTACTCCTTCCCAGGGCAGAGGCTCAGTCTTTCGTCTTAAAGTCATTGGAAGAGTGAAATCTATTTTAGGAGGGCAAAACAGCATCATTCACTGCGTGGTGGTCACATGGGTTAGCAGTTCCTGGGTAAAATAAAGCGTCCAGAACCCCTGGACCCTTCAGATCTTTCTGGGGCCCTCGGAGAGTGCAGCCCTGTCTCTGTTATTGGGCATCTATTTCCCAACACTTATTGAGTACCCTTGAGTAACCATGCACCAGGTACTATCATGCCACAGTTATTTGCTGTCCGGCTGGTGTGGACACCTTCTGGCTGCAGCCTTCTTTATGACCTTGACCTTCTATCACAGACAGCAGCTCCCTTGGAGCAGGGACCGGGATGGGAGTAGGACAGTCTGTGCCTAGCAGGCAGCCTAGACCATTTCCTCAATTGATACTTTGTGTATCAAAGATCAGGAGTGAACTAGATATTATTTCTGGCTTTGAGCCTGATAAAATTGAAACCATTATCTTTTCTCAATTAATTTTTCTGAAGTTTCTCGTTGGTCTATGGAATGTGTTGGTGGGTAGAGCTTACCTCAATCCGAGTCAGAAGGAAATTGAATTTCTGTCCTTGGGGATTCACCTCCATTTCAGTCTCTGCCAGATGTGCTGGTTACACATGCCTGCTTTGTGAATACAATGAGCCCGACTTATTTTATTGACTGCATTAAAACAATGGCTAATTTTATTCCAAACTCCACACAGTGCCACAGAGCTGTATCTACCATAACGATGTTAGAGAGTTGTGTGCTGCGGGGCAAATTTGCCAACTGGAAACTCACCTCCACCCTGCGGCCCGGCTCGAGACCGTGGCTGGGGAAAGACCTTTTCAATCCTCCTCACGTCCTGAGTTTGCTTCAGGCGCTCAGTTCTTCTGTAGGCTCCTGAAATATACGACCCAAGCTCACTGCATGTGTAGAGCTTCATTAAGATGTATATACTATGGGACGCAAACACGGGAGGTTGCTATCTCAGCATCCGCTGACCTGTTGTTCAGGCCCCAGCACTGGCAGCATCGGTGCTCAGCTGCCCACTGCACTGGGCATCTGCGTGGTGCCAGCCTTGTGTGCAGGACATTCCTACGGCTCGGAAATGTGGATCTTTCCCCTTGGCCGGCCACCTACCTCCACACTGCACAAAAGAAAGAAATAGGGTAGCTGAAGACGGCTCGGTGAGCAGAATTTCCAAGCAGCAAGGCACCGGGAGTAGTTTTGCAGCCCATCTTTTCCTAAGTAAAAGAAAGAAAAAGGAATTGCTTGCCATCGACCTCAGACCCTCTGGGGGTGAAAGAGATCTCTCTGAACTTTCTGGAAAGCTTAATATGAGTCTCCCATGATTTGCATATTTGTCATGATTCAAACACAGAAGCTCTCTGACGGCAGGGAAGGACACAGGAACCCTGAAGGACGCAACGCCTGTCTCAGTGGAAAAGGCTTGGCTTTGCGAGGATCCAGCCTGAAGTGAGGAGGGATAGCTCAGTACTAGAGCTGGGTTCTCCTCACAGCTCCTGTGCGCTGCCCCCCAGAAAACGGGCTGAAGACCAGAGGAGGAGGTCTCTTGAGCTCAGGAAACAGTGCATAGAGTGCCCAAGCAAGACGGGTGTCCTAAAAATACAGAGTTGCCTCAGAAGAGGCCACTGGCCGCTTCTTCCAAGCTGTTTCTGTCTCGGCGCCATCAACCATGGGCCAATCCCGTAAACCGTGAGCCAGTTCAGCCTCCTCTCTTCCAAGTCACAGGTGACGGGTAATGTTTCCCAGTGATAGGAAGTGACCAACACCATGGCACTGCTGAGGGCCACAGCACAGCCTCAGCAGAACAGGCAGCACTTGGCTGTCCACACACAGGCAGGAAAAAGGCTGAGGTGGCCAGGAAGCTTTCTAACACCATCACCATGCCACACACTCCCTAAGACAAAGGAGTAATATTTATTCTAAATGTTATTATCGAAAGTTTAATATTAAAAGATATAATGCCAATGTGGGGCCCAGAGAGAGAAAAGTCAAAGCCTTCCAAGAATCAACCATGCTGGGACTGAGAGGAGACCACCAAGAAGTCAACCAGCCGGCCTTTCTGGCGAGCCACGCAAGCACGTGGGCAGGAAGAGGGAAGTCCCGTGAGCCCCCCGAATCAAATCCCCCAGCCCAACACTCTCCGTAAACAACCTGCGGGCTCTGAGGACAGGCTGAGTTGATAGCAACTAAGGTACAAAAAGCAACTAAATGCTCGTATTGCCAGCCCTGACCTGGGGCCAGCGGTCTGAGCATCTGTTGGGAGGGTGACCGTGTGCAGTGCAGCAAATATGGGCGATTCCCTTCTGTCTCGTCTTTCAAACCCCATACTGTTCTCACGTTTTGCTTTGTTCTGATTGCTTTTGCTTTATCCAGTATTCTGCTTTGATTGGTTTTATTCTGTTGTTTTTGGTTTGATTTTGCTGTACCTGATGGAATGGACACCTACGTGAAGATAATAAGGCATACTACGGTAGCTGCTATTGGTCTCCTAGCGTCCTGCTTTGAGGTTCTGTACCAATTTTGCTGCTTTGTTTTGACTGGCTTTGTTCTGTTTTGTTTTGTTGGATTTTACTATCTTTAAAAAATATATAATGCCTTAAAATGTACGGCTTAGCTTTTAAATAATATTATTTGATAAAATTACTTATTAAAGTTATTTACATTGTCCAATAATGTCTTTCATTTTAAGAGTCTGGTTTATTCCAACTGATGCTATTTCATATAGAATTATGAAATACATGAGTCAAAACTGATCTGAAAGATCTTTATTCAAATCCACTAGTTTTATGATTGGGAAATGAAAAATCACTTTTCCAAAGTCACATGTCTTAAAAGGGTCAAAACAAATCACATACTTCTTCATTTCTAGTTCAGGATTTTTTACATTACTTTGCACCTGTTGCTCATAAATACAGAACTTTAATAAATACAAAGCTATTTAGACATATACATAGACCAATAAATATTTATAAATAATGTTAAATATATAAACATTGTTAAATGGCACATTTGATGAAAAACAAAACCACTTGAAAGTTCAATCTGTATTCGATGAAGAACTATTTTACATCATCTGAGAATATTAGAATTTAGTTAATAACACAGTTTTTAATAGCTAACTACCAAATTTCTTAATTTTTCATTAATTCCATAAACAGGAACTGCATATCTACAGCGAGCTAATGACACGGGCAGTGCACACGTTCCTGCGTAAGATGCACAGTCTGGAATTTAGATAATAAAAAATCTAGAGAGTATAAAATGCAGTGACTTTATATGATGTCCTAGGTGAACTTGCCTTGGGTAAATTGCTTAATCTGAGTTCTTACCGTAGAGGGAAAATACTCAACATCATCCTCTATTTAGGTCCATGTGTGTCAAATGAAGGCAGTTCACTGGAATGCTACGATCGCTCCGTGCACCTCAGCACCAATCACTCTTACTTCATGCCAGGCTAGGGGACATCTATGACAGAGCAGTCACCTTGGTCCTAGGCGCGCAGGAGGACCTCCAGGACGTGCTGCCTTGGGGAAGGAAGAATTATCTGTACTAAGTAAGCAGTGTCTCAGGCGAGGGAACAACACATTTACAGGCTGAAGGCTGAAGAGAGAGAGACAGCTTACCTCATCGGGGAGCCCGCCTTGTGCTGCTCAGTACAATAGCCTCTGGTCACATGTGGCTAAATTTAAATGTAGATGACTTATAATTGAATCAGCCTAAACATTCAATTACTTAGTCACATAGGCCACATTTCAAGCCCGTGATGGGCTCCTGCAGCTGGGGGTTGCTGCGCTGGAGGGGAAGGACCAGAGCAGCTCTGGTCCTGCGTGAGCGGCACTGGTCTGCATGCTGAAGGACCTACACTCAGGCAGTTAGGGGACACAGGCGGTCAACGAGAATGGAGAAGCAGATGGGGCAGGGCCTGGAGACCCCGGTACCAAGTAAATGAGCTAGGATTTTACTCTAGGGGCCACGGGCATGTTTCTGTATAAATCGTCTACTTTGCAAAGTAAATTCAAATTGAACTGTTCTTAATCTGAGGCACCTTACATAAATTGTTTAAATGGCCTCTTCACAGTGTATCTTCGTGAAATAAATTTCACTTGGGGAGAAACTGAATCAGTGGAGACCGGGTTCCTTTTACTGTTGAAGAATACTGGAACTCGCCCCAAGCCCAGCAGCAACGGGTACAAGTTCAAACTATGACCCAAGACTCCACCCTTCAATTTGAATGTGTCTGTGACTAAATACAACCACATTATATAATGCCTTACTGGTGGAAAAATGTTAATTGATGATATTGATATTTCTGGCTAAATATTTCAACTAAAAAAATACTGATGTCTTAACATGTTGAAAACATACTTTTGAAAGAATTTAATTTTGCATCTGCGTTTCCCTGTCCAAGGTCAGGTGGAGACCCGTCTACACAGAAAATAAAGCAACCTTGAGAGGGTAAATTGCTGGCACTTGTTCTGAGAGCGGCATTGAGAACGACGAGGAGACGTGTACGAAATCCAGCTCGTACCCTGTCCTTGTGTGAGGGGATCGCTGCGGGTTTTTAAATCATGATGTGGTCTTTTATTAATGAATCTCGCAATCTTAAAAATGCCGCTCTTCGGAGAGCAGTGTGCATTCTTTGCATTATTAATCTCTCCACCCCTTCCTGTCCTTCCTATCTAACTACAAAACACTTAACCAAATAATAGAGCCCAATGACACCCTCACTGCTGACTCTAAGAGGAATGCTACGTGAGGTCCAAGACGAGAATAAAAACGTCTCCTGTACTCTAGGTAAACAGCATTCAGAGTAAAGCCAGTTTACAGTGGGGTGATTTTATAGGGCTTTGTTCAATATTACAACTTGGCCTTCTCAAGATCCTGTGAAGGTTACGAGCTTATTCACAAGAGACTCTTCATTATAAATGGAGAGATATGTCAGGACCAACAAAGCAGTTTGCAAATTATTAGGCATTATATTCAGCCACGTAGTTATAAAGCACAGCCCAGAAATGTTGAGGATGGGTGGCGTCTTCAAATGAATTGATTGAATAAATCACTTACTGGGTGAGCTCTGATTTCACAGCATAATTCCTTCTGCAACTTGTGCTTTCTTAACTCCATGAAAACTTTAAAAATGGGAAGCCTGGCCATAAACAGTTATCCACTTCCTTCAGTTAAATAAAATATGATTAAATTTCCCCATCCAACCTTTACTGAGCTATTGTTTGTCAATTTGATATTCCTGTTGTATTACTATGCTTGGAGATACCTATTCCAACTTTCTAAATAAGACTGGTTGATTTTTTTAAAAAGAGACCAAGAACAGGACTGAGACAAAATTCTTACTTCATACCACTCAACAAATTTCGTCTCATTTCAGCTCTCCACAAATTAAGTCATTTCATAATTATACATCAAGGCAAGTAGGCTAAGACTGGCAGCCAGAAAGAACCTTCCAGAAATCACTGACTAAGCCGAACAAGCCCATACTCCAAAACTTTGAGTTTTTATACTTAATTTTACTTTTGTGTGTGAAGCTTTCTTAGGTCAACAGGGAAATCGTTTTTAAAATTCTTTTTTTTTTTTTTTTTTTATCGGTACCAGGGATCGAACTCACGACTGCCTGCTTTCAAGGCAGGCGCTTATGCCGCTGAGCTAAATCCCCAGCTCCGTTTTTAAAATTCTTAAACTTAACTGTTTTCCTGCGATCATTCCATCACGTGACTCATGAAGTAAAAACAGGGAGTCCGAGCTTCACTAACTGTTGAGTCACAAAGCAAGTGAATCTTAGCTACAGCAGGGTGTAGAAGGTTACACCCCCCAGGAGCCCCACAGCCCAGGACCAGCATTCGGCCCTTATGTGTGTTTCACAAGTCACAGAAGGGGTGTGGACCTGTGTCCAGAAAAAGGGTCTATCTCGGTGTTTGTTATTGCTTCTTTGTACCGCATCCCTGTTCTCCAAGGAAGTGCAGAGAACGGGAGCTTAAGCCTCTGCTTTCCTAAGGCGAGGGGCAGGGGCAGGGGCCGGGGTGGCGTGGGGGGTGGAGGGAAGGGTGGTTGGTGTCAGCACACTTTGTAACTGACCCTTCATCCCGTGAAGTACACAGGGCAGTTATTACCAATCCTGGCTTCCTGATTAAGAAGAGAAAACTCTGAGGAGAACCCCTTGTTCCCCAAAGCCGTCATCATGTGGGGCCACTTTCACTCGGGCAAACTCCACTCATCTGTAAGTTCCAGTCTCCTGTGTGAGTCTGTGATGCTCACCAAGCCTAGCACAAAATGAACCACACCAACCGGACAATTTGTAAAAGCCAAAGAACCCATAAAAATCTAAGACACATAGGAATTTACTAATATTCCTGTTGGTTTACACATAAGGAGGCTTAGGACTGACAATCTAATTATATCATGTCACTATTTGGAAATAAATTAGGGTGATAATCAAGGACTCTAGGATACAGTGACTTTTCAGAAAACTTCACTATACCCTAATCATATCCTAGGATATACAAATTTGCATGTTCTCATTACAACCAGGAAATTACATAAAGGTCACAAGATCATGTCAATATACTCTCTAGAGAAGAACATCACTTTTCATAAAGTAGCTTAGAATCTCCTTTTAAAACTAGGTGAAAGTAAAATTGACCCTGTAGTGAATGGAGGTAATGTTTCCTTAGATTAAAAAATCCCAATGGTGAAATCATCCCCTGCATTGAGAGGAATAAAATATTACTCAAGTTGCAATTACCTGTAAAGAGCAGTCGTCCCCAGCCACCCCCTTTGGAGAAATTGATTGTTTCTTTATGCCCTTTGTTTACTCATTTTTCTTAGACTTAATGGCTGGCAAGTGACCGTTTCATTATCGTAAGACATTTCTTTCTCTCCTAGAGTGGATTCTTTTCTTCCTTGTGCTTAGCAGTAGCTCTAGTGCTCATAATTAGATGCACCTGCATTTTCAACCCCAAAGTGACTTTGTAGGTGATTGCGTGACGGTATCTAAGTTTCTTTCACATCTTGCTGTGGTTAGAGACCATATACATTTGCCGAAGTGCGTGTCATGCCCTGTCCTTTCCTGGAGGTGAGTGAGGAATGTCTGGCTTCCCCACCAAGGGGAGAGGAGAGTTCTCTGTGGCCGCCTGCACGACCTTGCTTGGGTCTGGAAGCCTCCTATCCGCATCTCTCCATTGTATCTGCATCTAGGTCATCTGTGAAGATGACAGTCAGCTTACATACACCAAACAGAAGCTATTCAGAAATATTTTTAAATGCCCTAATAGTTAATTACATAAATGTAGAAATAGACAACCCGAGTTTGAATTCCAGGCTACCTGACACTTTGTGTCAGAGAACTCACCTTTGACAATCTCGATGGTAGCCGTTCCGACCCCATAGTCCTTATGATAATTAATTGAGATAGTCAAGTAAAGCGAGAGTTCATCCACATTTAACTCTTGCCTAGAGCAGTGTAAATCACACAGTGAGTAAACAGAGCAAATGGGTTTGCTACGGACTTTGGTCTCTCTGTCTGAAGCATCCCAAGCCACAGGCTCCCTGGGCTCCGCCACACTCCCGTGGCTGCCTGCCTCACCCCACACTTAGCTCAGCACTCAGGGACCGAGTGCTGTCTTTGAGCCGCCTGGACAGGGCATGGGATTCTGGAAGACAGCAGCCCATAATACTTGACAGGGAGCAGGATGTACCTCTTCTGCTCTCTCTCAGAGTGACAGAGCATGGCACTTTTAGCCTCAAGCCAGTTTGGTGAGCCTTAGGCAGAGAGCATCTCAGCCGGGTACATAAAACTGAAAATCGAGGTAGCTAGGGTTCGAGCCCGGGATCTCTGTCCGTAACTGTCTTCTCCTCTTTCTGTTGCACAGCCACTCATGTGGAAGTCCTCTGAGGAAGGCGGGGATAATCTGCCATTAGAGCAGAGGCACCAACACAAGAACCGCAGGATTTTTATGGCCAACATGTAGATTTTCATGGGGATGGCTAGTGTCGTAGCAGGAAGAGTTAGTAACCGAAAGTTTATTGAGTCCGTATCATACGCCAGGAGCTGTCCTAAGAACTGGGAATAAAATGATTCAGGAGAACTTCATTCTCAGACTGAGTGGCCTGCTCCTGGAGAAGGTGACAAAAATCTACTGAACAGTAATTTCAGAGAAATAATTAATGAAAAGACTGCTGAAGGGGTTAGAAAGTAAGCGGGCATGAGCGCTGCGACTGAATGACCGAAATGTGACTGGGAGTGATGTGCTAGTGGAAAAGCAGGCAGAGCCCACGACCAAAGCCTCCCGCCACCTGTACCTGACGGATCCCTATCCAAGGGACCACCCTTTCAAGCTCTCCCAGGCAGACGGGTAGTAATGTCTGGGTCTCCTGGACCCACCCACTCGACCCTTCTGTCGGTGTAGGAGGAACCGGCTGATCCCACAGCCTGGCAGGGTTTGTAGAACTCTAGTAAACAGCGATGGGGTCATTCACTTAATAAATATAACTGGGAAAT